ATATAAAGACTAGGTCTTTGAAATAATTATTTTTAGAATAAATAATTGTAAAATAGAAATAACATAGTTTTACAAGTGTGTACAAGTTTTTAGCCTTTTCAAATATATATATATATATATATATATATATATATATATATTATCTGATTTTATATAATTTTATTTTTTCATTAAAATCTATAAAACATTATGTCAAATTCATCTATATACAAATATGCAACTATTTCTCAATCAATAATTTATTTGATTCATTAAATATCTCTTTGGAATTTGTTTAAAGAAACATTTGGTTATATGTATTAAAACTTATAAAGATTTATCTAATGAATTTTGGTGGTAATTTTCCTAATTTATTTGTTTCCACTTATTTTTGTCTTTTAATCTGTTTTTTTATCCTCCAAGTCCAAATCATACCCTAAAACATTTTGAAGATGTAGCTTTGCAAGCAAATTATACATTACTTGATATTGAAGAAAACAACCTCTATCAAAATACAAGCTTCAACGCAATTCTTAATGTATAAAATCTAATCAATTTGATGTTGTTACGAGGACTTCTACATTCTAACACTCATCATAAAAAAAAAAAAATTTAAAAATCATCAGTTTTGGACAATTACAGTTATAAGACAACCACTCCCATTGCGGTAGACTGTATTTTCTTAGAAAAATCAAAATTGGGTACAAAATTGAGTTAGCAATCAAACAAGATTCAATATAGAGACAGAGTCAAAAGTCAAGGAAGCACTGTTTGAAAAGGATGTCCTTGCTTAATATGTATATGATTTATGTGAACTTTTGTTGATGAAGATCTTTGCCTTCTGTTACCTACAGTTGCACTCTTCTAAAGGTTTTAAGGACCTTGAGTTTTGGACCAAAGACATGCTATGTTCACTGCTCCCATGGCAAGCAAGTATATAAAAACAAGCCAAATTCCTCAAGTCTTGTGTGATGTCCTTATTCTTTTGTTAGCAATCTCCAATCTACACCTCTTTTTTGCTACACCACCCTAATGGCTCTTAGTCTTTACTTTTCAACAAACTGTGGAAACTTTTTAGATCATTGTCTGCTGAAAAGTCTTCTTTCATAAAATTATTTTAAAATATATATATATATATATATATATATATATATTTATATTTATATACATTTTATCATTTATTCAGCAAAGATACTTTTCATAATCTCACTTCTCATGTTCCAAGCTTACATTGCACATCAATATTCAAAGAGAGAAATTTTGTTGGTTACACAATTTGAAACCACAACTTTTGATGTCTTGACATTTGATTGCCTGCATAGTATTCTTGATTATTTTTTTCATATCATTAAGGAATTTAAAATGAAACAAAATTTGGGAGGTTATTAGTAATAACCTTGAATGCTAGTAGGATTTTCTAAAGGCTAAGGCTACAAACACACCCTAAGTTGCTATACGCATGTCCATTATGTCTATACATGCATCTTAGGCTTCTACTTGGCTCATCCAAATCCCTTTTTTCTTATCTTGATGTAGGTCTTGGTCCTCCTTGACATTTTTTTTTATTGATGTGCAAGAGCTTTGTATGAAGATTATGAAAGAAGAAGAAAAATGGAAGATGGAAAATGAGATATCATAGTTGGAAGAAACAATAGTTAAGCTGAAGTTTGAGAATGAAAAAGAGACAATTAAGGCTTAGGAACTGAAGGCCTTCCTTAATAAACACAAACACCATAAAGAAAAGTAGCAAAAATTTGCCAAGAGCCAAACATTATACCATCTTTGCTTAGAGCCAATACTTTGCAATATCATGCATTAATATGGTATCACCCTTTTCTAACTCTCCTTCTTTATTTCCTAAAATTTATTTCATCCCTCTTCAACCAACTATTCTTGTTATCTTTCTTGGCAGTGAGATCTTAAGACACACTCATAAAAGATGCTCTCAAAAAATAATCAAATAAAGAGCATCTTGAAGTTATTTGGTTATGTTGTTAATCAACAAAAATTCTTTAAGAGATTTCATGGCTAATATAGATCTTATTTCAAATTGTGTCCAACATTGATTTAGGTCTTCTTCAATATATTGTCAATGTTTGGAGGAAGTAGAAATGAATTTGTTGAGATTAGTCTAGATTTGTACTCTTGATGAAGTTGAGCAGGTTTTTTTGAGGAATTTGGTTACTTTTTGAAGGACCTTTTTGTATAAGAAGCAGGTGCAATTAACTTGAGAAGAATGCAACATTCTCATTACTTATATCAACTTCAAGAAGACCTCATATGAGGCAATAGAAGACAAACTTTCTAGGAGTACTTATAGCTAGATTTGTGAAGGAGTGGGACTTGCACCGGGACAATGAAGAGAAGCAATGGGACTCACATTAGGATAAGGATTAATGGATTTGGATGAGCCAACCAAAAACCTTAGATGTGTGAATAGATGCAATGGATGTGTGTATAGCAACTTGGGGTATGCTTGTAGTCCAAGCCTTTTCTAAATAGATAGAAAGGACTAGACTAAAGGTCAATTTAAAATATATTTTTTCCTTTTTTCTTTTTTCTTAGACTTTTTTAGAAGATTTACAATTTTCATACTCTGAGGTGGATTATAATCTATTCTATGATTATAGATTTTTTTTAATACAAATTTTGTTATTTTTTAAATGTTCGATAAAGATAAATACAGGCAATCCTACAATATATATCAAAGTTGCTTTTAACAATCACTCATCTGGTAAAGCAAGAGACTTCAAGGTCAATATCTTTTTGTAAATTTGTACCTTGAAGTTTGCCTATAAATATGTATAGTTTTTAGAAAATTTGCAGTAAGGTTTCAGATGATTTTTTATTAAATACTATTTCTGGATTTTCCATTGATAAAAATAATTTATTTATATATTTGTATTTAAGTATTTTTCATTCAATTAAATGTTAAAAATATCTTAGATTTGTATGTTTCCTAGTGCATTTTTGGGGAGGCACCCATGGAAACGATCTTTGACGTTCCCTATCCCCTCATCCATCCATCCATATGTTTGGTGGGATTCTGCAGGGTGACTCTAATCTGCAACGTCTGTTTTTCATAGAGCTCTGAGCCACCAATCCAAAACATCAACCTCATCCACTAGCTCAAGCTTAAATAAATCAATGTAAAAAATTAAATAGCATGAAAAAACTTCCGCTGCTTTATGTCAGAGGCCCCACTTTATTTAGGACCCCCCCCCCTCCTGCCCCTTGTGTGCACAGCTCCTGTTGCCCCTCAACACAGCAATGTTTTTGGGTTGTTATTAGAGTTTCAGGTAAGGAAGGGTTTATGGGTTTATGGGTTTATGGGGGGGAGTGAGTGAGAGAGAGGGTTGGAGACTGTTAATTGAACTTTAGTGTTGGCGTGGTGTTGTCAATGGTGGAGATTTTGTCCCTAGGATTTGAAAGAGAGAGGGCTTTGGTTGCTGTTGGACAACAAAGAAGGCAGTGATGGGACAAGTTCTGACAAAGCTTGATGAGAGAGCTTAGGTGAGAGGTTACTATACAAAAGCACACACAAGGCTTTTTGGACTTGAGTGAGGATATGAGTTAGTACACAAGATAAAACTGCTGGTGAGATGTCTTGCCCTTGGTAAGTACTAAAATTTACTGCTAGTTCTCCAAAAGGAAATAAAAAATAAAAATAAAAAAATAAAAAAAAATGAGGAGGACCAAGTGGCTTGATAGCTATGGTCTCTTTGACTACCCCCCACATTTCTTAAAGACAGTGTTGAAATTTATATGTACTTCAATCAAAAGTGCATAATAAATACAATTAATAACTCTAATTTGCAATGTAAATCTGTGGCAGCCCCTCAAGTTATGGACTCTTTCTCTTCCCTGCCTTGTTTTAAAAATGTATATATAACTCACTTCAAGAATGGTCAAACCAGAACAGTAAAAATCATGTTCTTGTGTGTTCCTGCTGCCCATGATGTGGAGTCTGGATTGGTTCCCCACATAGTTCTTGGTTTTCCAGTTATTGATTCCCATTTGGAGGAAACAATATATATATATACATATATATATATATATATAAATATATGGTACCATGTGCAGTTATTCTCACAGTCTGGGACAGTGCTCCCTTGACATGTAAGCCCAGGTAAGTTGCCAGTCTTATTCAGTAGCCTCCATGCTCACAAGAAAGATAAATTTTATTAAGTGACCATTCAGATACAGTGTTTTTTGGTTCTTTTTTGTTACATGAACATCCAGACACAGTGTTTTTGGTTCTTTCTTTTTCATGCACAATTTTTGCAGCTGTGGAATTGCTAACTGGTTTAAAGACTGAACCAAGTACACTGAAGACTTCTCCACATACTCAAGATATGTTTCCACCTGAATCATTCAAGCATCATTATCAACCTCAAAACTCAAAAATGAAGAGAGGACCCAGACTTTATTCAGAGAGGAATGGGTTTTCTATTGCTTGTGATTGCATAAAGTATGATAGATTTTGGACAATGATTGCTTCAATGGAGGGGTTCATGTTAAAGTCAGTTGTCTTAAACTCTACACGTGAAGTACTTAAAGTGTCTTACTCCAAAAGAAAGTAAAGGACATCCTTCTTGATCTTTTGTGCGGTAAAGTACTACTCTGTGTTGTGATATTCCCCTGTGCTTTTTGATGGACATTTTGTCACTTGCTGCTCGACTTCCATGTCCACCTCATGACTTCCAATTTTTCTTTAGATTTGGATAATTTCCGTGTGGATGTTCATTCCCTACAATGTGTAATGACGTAGAGGAGATCCCCGGCTCGGGATGTATTTGCTCAACCCCAAGAGCCTGTAAACTGATCTGGAAGCTTACAAGAAGAAATAGAGAAAGAGGGTGTGTGTATACCGAGCAGCAGCAGTTAAGAAAATTGTTCAGTCGGGAACTTGTGACCAGTGTGCACACTTTAATTGATGCTCACTAAGCAAAAGTTAAATCACAGTTTGTAATTTGCAAGCATAAGGTCTCATGAACAAGGCATGGTTTGGGACACAGCAGTTTGGGTTCTGTGATTTACAAAAGAAGACAAATTATTATCTGTAAGTTCCACATAGTTTTATACTCTACCTGGTCTACTGTACGATGCTAGCACGCTGTAACTGCCATCAAGTCCGAACGACCCGCACTCTAAATAATCACGACACCAGGATGTTGAAACTAAACCGTTTCCTGCAACTCGAATACAAGGCCGTGCTGAACAGCAAAATTTTTTATTTGTTTACTAGTCTATCGCCCTGGTGGCGAAGGTGATGGAAAGATTAATTGGATGCCGGAGCTCAAGTACAAAAACAAAAATTGTTTGGTCGTCTCCTAATACTTAGGTTGGTTGATGAATGGTGATTGCGGATTTACCGAGTCTACCACACATTCTTCAGACCAGCTCCTGCAGTACGAGGGGGTGATGCTGCTTCTGTGACTTGAATGATACTGCCGAGGTGAAGATTTCGACAGTGAGAATTCATTTGGCTAAGAAGCAAATTGCAGAAATTTCACGAGCATCTCCGTTGGCTGTGGGCAGTGCACTTCCTTCACTGAACTCTACTAATGTTAGCGGATTCTTCAATAAGGGTACAAAATGTGATCAATGTGAGAGGAGCCGAGATTGTTTGAAGCAAAAAAGAAGAGGGGGAAAATTGTTAACGCCTGTCAGCATAGACCAGATTTTCGGTGTTGTTCATGTTGCGGCGGACGCCATTTTCACGACCTTTCTTGGCAAGCTCGCGGTACTTCTTATCGTTCCCTTTGCAGAGGTCCACTGGATACTTCTGTGCATTCTTCTCGAGCTTCCGGAGAGCCGACTCACCGAGGTCTACATTGCACACATCTGCTAGACGAACGAGGTAGAGTAACACGTCAGAGAGTTCTTCGCCCAAATGCTCCTTGGAATCGTCGTCCCAGTCCGACAGACCCCGGGGTACCTCTCCTTTCCACTGGAAGATTTCAGAAAGCTCTCCCACCTCGCCCACCTACATTTCATAATCACACAAAAACGTCAGTGTCTTTCCCGGAAGACTTTTATGATAGAAGTTTTGCACAAGTGTTGTTAGCGGGCGCCAAGATTGCCAAGGCCTTTCAAGAGCAGTGCAATTCTTCACATGACACATCAACATAGAATTTGGTCTTGTGTCTTAGCAACAAGGAGCAAGATACTGATAGCGATCTGAAGCAGCTCAGCAGTAAGTTCAGTTAAAAGAAAAAGAAAAAGAAATTGAATGAGCGGCGAGGTGCTTACGAGAGCCAGAAGAAGATTACGAGGGCTGTGAAACGAGTCCCATTCACGATCAGCGGCAAAGCCAGCCATGATGCGGGCAAGGTCCTTCAAGGTCACCTCTTTCTCCGACGGCATGGAATTATTCTTCTTCAGCTCTTGTACTGTCGCCTTCTCTACTGCACTTGCCTGCTCCTCCCGGGCGCCCATCTTCTGTTGGTGTAGTGATATTTCTCTTTATCCTTCGAAAAATAATCTGAACAACCCCAGTACGTCTAAAGGCTGTTCGAGTTGTGATCAATATAAGTTCTTACAAACAGACAAAATTAAACTCCTCGACAGGCTATGGTGCAGCGGCAGCACACAACTGAACGGATGACACTAGTTCCACTACCTCTCAACTGCCCAAAGACCAGACGCCACCTCAACTTTGAACCGCAGATGTCTCTCCAACAGACAATCAACCATTCAAGCAATTTAGTAATCAAGCTCGCCGAACCCCTCCAGAACCTACCCCAGACCTCGTCACACACCAGCTCTCTCCTACTCACACAACCCTCAATCTAGACATCCTTCAAACAACCCACACAACCAGTAGCCCTTTCAGCACGTGATATTTCAACCTCGATGCTAAACTGAGCTATGCACAACTCCACTCCCTTTTGCTCCTACACTCTCGTCCACAACCACCCAAACATGGATGAGCGCCCGGAACCTCTGCACACACCCACAGATCCACTAGCTCTCGCTTTATATAGCCTCACAACCACGGTACATACCGTTCGCCGACACTCGCCCACCCATCAGTACAATACCCCCTAACTATCAATCGACTGATGCACTCATTCCTCGCCTGCAACGCTCTGTGCGCACTACGGATCCGTAGCCTGCAGCGGGGATCCTCTGCTATAGAACCCGCACCGTTAAAACTTCGAACCCTTACAACACTAGATTGTGTGTCTGATCGATGTCCAGTTTTGGGCGGGCGGGACAGTACTAGCAGTCTACCCAGTTATGAATGATTAACTAGAAGGCAAATTCTCATGGACGACGGGCGATCGCTGCGTCTGGCACTACATGAGCGATCCTTGCGAAGTTGCTGGAAGCACTTGCCAGGAAAATCCGATCTCGACAAATCTGACTCGCGCGCCGTAGGTGTGCGGGCTCTCCTCTTCTGCTCAAGCTGCTCACAGTCTTGTGTCCGCGTCCGCGATCGTCGACGATTCGGCTTTCGCTCTTCTGTCCATTCTCTGCCCTGCCTCCCCAATATGTCTTGTAGTGGACGGCTGGGTTCATCCGAACCTCCTCCAAGGGGCTTCATCACCGCTCAGCCGCCAATACTCGGGGACTTCATCTCCCTCAGGTGCTGATTGCGAGATTTTTTGCCTGGCTCGTTCATCCGCGTAATCCACCTTCAATTATTATTACTGTTATCCCTCATTGCAAGCTTCGATGCACCTTTTTGAATTTTCCTATTCCTTCTCAATTCTTTCTTATTTGACTTTGACACTTCGGTGCAGCCAAATTGATGGGGACACTCTACAAGATAAGTAGCTTCTGGACAAAGGCCTTGAAGTTGGTTTACAATTTTAGTCTCCTAACATCCAATCTCAAGCTTTGTATGGTAAAGCTTTGAATGGTATGTTTTTGGGTTGGCTCAGAATGCAACTTGGATATGAAGAATTTGAATTATTGTAGAATACAGTGCAAAACACATGAACAATAACTACAGCAAAATGATCTTTTGTAAAAGAAAACCGAATGGATGCCTGGTTAAGTAATCACAACATTAACCATATGATTCCTTGATATGTTCTTACTTTGTCACATTCCTCAATAGAAGCTAATCTTGAGACCCACTTGGATCAAAGTTAACAACACCTTGGGCCCCATTTCCATCCCAGTCGAAAACACATTGTAGGTATCTTTAGGAGTGAGAAAGGGCAGGCACAAGTGCACATATAAAAGAGCCCCCTCATTTAATATTCTTGTTCCAACATCCCATTGTCCAAGGACTCCACAGGGGCATTTTGTCCACCAACTCCAGCTGGGTGTCTGTTTCTCATTCTTCCTCACTTCCCATGTAAGAATTGGATACCTCACCGGCCTCGAGTGGCTGATTTTGTCCCTACATGTCGGGTGCAGTATCAGCTTCACAAACATGTTTCCTTGGGCTTTGCATGGCTCCAACTTCATGGTGGTGATGGTGGTGGTGGCGGGCGGCGAAGCCTTCAAGAAAATGGCCTGTACCTTACCTTCTTGGGCCTGGCCCCATAAATCCCTCTAGCCAAGCTCAATCACTGCTTGAAGCCATTATACTTACATAAATCAGGGTTTGGAGCATCACAAATCCCCATTCTTCCCTGTTCTCATCCAGTTTTAGTTACTTTAGGAGATTACTGAGAAATAATAAAATTATTTGACTTAGTTTTATGTTCATACTTTTAGAAAGAAGTAACTGTGCATTTTCATAAAATAGATATTTACATGCACTAATAAAAATCAATGATACCTACTTTTAGGTTGACATGAGTACAAATTGTCCTAAGGTTTTTATCTTTTATTTTAATTATGTTTTTGCTTATTTATCCAAAAGTTTGGTACAATAGGATATATCAATCACAACATCTTTGCATCAAGCAAGTGGAAAGCTAAAATAGATAGAACCATTGATTTATGATCCAATACAAAAATGTAGTGTGACAAAGACCATTCTATGCAAGCTCCACACACACATACATACTTACATACATCCAAAGGGTATCATGAAACAAGTGAGAATGTTCATCAGCATATCAAGCACAATGAGTCTGTAGAAAGTAAATGTATATATATATATATATATATATATTTATACAAGTGAAAATAGGTGATGTTGGTAACGCAAAATTGATCCTTGTCACAATACACTCTCCTAGGGTTTGAAATGAGAGATGCCACTTTATAGGCTTAACAGTTAGTGATGTTCACAGTGAGCCAGAATGGTCAGATATCAAGTCACAACAAGTGATATGGCTTGAGTTTACAATTTTTAGTATCATAATGTGGAATTTGACTTATTGCAAACTACAGTTTAGAAGAAGGCAATGAACTTCAGAACACAAGCATGATTCAATATAAAATGGAAAGTTAGCATGAATCCTTTCTTCTTCTTCTTCTTCTTCTTTTCTCCAGTATCAAGAAAGAGTAAGTTGCTGAGCGGATAAAAAGTTGCTAGTTCTTCAACCCTAAATCCATAGCCACTTGGAACATTCTAGAGCTTGCTGACATTTTTTGAGCAATGCAAAAGCTGATAACTGTACCAATTTCTTGCAATACAACTCTCCATTGTGGAAAATAACATTATTTTTTTCAAAAAAATAAAAATCAATCAAAACTATCAGCAGATCATGCTTCTTTGAAGCTCATAACTGTGTAAAGTCAACCATCTCAAAAAGGTCTCTCAAAGTGCAAACAGAATACTGCCTATCAGTCAAAAGGAACATAAGCTCCAACCCTCCCTTTGCCAAAAGGAGCTCCAAATAAGCTATGACTTATCAGCTGGACTAAAAGTTAAAGCATTGAATAAACAAGAAAAAAACTTTGTAAGAAAGACAGGATTGCTCAGGCATATAACTCCTGCAATTAAAGCCATTTGTAAGATCCATACTGATAATAAAGCAATTGTTTTCTTTCAATTGAGAGTTGGGATTTTGTTTTTTGAAAAAACAAAGAAAATCTGTCAGAGAAGGGAGCAGGATTATGGAGTTAGTTGGTTGTACTGCCCCTTTGGTTCTTACGCCAGGCAGTATGCAGCACAGATGATATTTTTGGCTGGACAAAAATCACTCACATAACCATCAACCAGGCCTATTGCAGTCACAGAAACATTGGCCGTCAGTTACAAGATTTTCCAGCAACTGGGTGAAATTGTTTCATTAATTTCATGAAGCCAAATCATAGAAACCAGACAATGAAATTGATAAGAGATTTCCTGGTTTACATGCACACACGCGCATATATATATATATGAGGGTGGAGCTCTTTTAGGCTACACTTTGTGACCAATGCCAAAGGACATTTGAGTACCTAACACAGTTGGGTACAGGATTAGAAAATTCCCACAAGGGTTTGCAGGTACTTATGGGAATCTGCTCCCATAAAGCTAATTAGAACACGTGAAGAGAACATGGATGCAAGACTAAGGCCAATGCACCTAAGTTTCATTCTGGGTCACATTGGTGCCATAACTGCCATAGAACTAAAGTGCCAAAAACCCTTAGCTCATTATGATTACATCCAGAGTTTTTTGCAGTTGAAAGTTGGTGCACTCTATCTCAACAGATAGAGGCTTTGCCACATTTCTGACTTACTAGCATTGTACCAGTCAGTCCTGTGCCCTGTCAACCACAGTAAACAGGAAACTGTTTGTTCCGTTCTTCTTTTTAGCTTCCAGCTTTTCCGTTTCCACCATAATTATCTCACACTGGATCAAGCCCCTCAGCAGCACCTCAGCCCTTGTAATCAAGTCGTGTGTGTCGTAGTAAAATTGCTTCCCTGAAGAAGCATCAGCAACAAGAGAGACAGTTACAGCATGGAAAACCCTAAAATCTGGCATGCAACAGAGTTGACTTGAGAATCTAATGAACAGTGTGGGCCACTAACACACAGTCTTTAAAAGCTCTCTTTGGTTTTGGGGGCTACGAACTTACTAATTCAAAGAGGATGGAGTTACGTGGGCGATGGGGAATGATAAACGGGAGTGGAAGCGGGATGAGGGACGAGCCGCTGGCAGGCTCGAAGTTTTGACCCACAGCTCAGAGATCTCCGCAACCGTGGCAGCAATTTCCAAGCAAGCAGACGCACACACAGAGAGCGAGAAAGAAAAAAAGGGCGAAAACCCACGCAAAGCTTTTACAGTTCTTGTGCACATGGATGGATTGAGAGTACAAGTCCACAGCTCCAAGGAGCCAAGTAGCATTGGTAGGGTGACAAAGGAATGCCTAACCCTGCAACCCAACAATCAACGAAACAGACTGTAAGACGAGGATCCCTGGAGCCAAAAAGTACTTGCAGTAATGAGGGGCACCTTTATGGGCTACAACACTAGAGTGGGTAGGGACCTGTGAGTGTGCAGACGTGCAGAGGGGGCGAGGAGAATAAGGGGTCTAGAAGCGGATCAGTGATTCAGAGGAAAACCGAAGGGGGGTGACTGTATGTTTGGAAGCTTTCTCGGGCGGCGTGATTGTTGGACGCGGGTGGGCTGGGGCTGGACTGGGCTGGACTGGCTAAGCTGGAGGGTGTTGTGGCTGCCTAGCTAGAGTCCCAGTCCAGTCTAGTCCAGGCAACAGGGCAGGTAACGGAGCTGGCAGCACCGCGCCGCCTTTGGCCCCTCTTGACTGCCACACCTCCCGCCTCCTTTCTACGCGTCGTGGCCTCCAAGCTCCCGCAGCAGACCTCGCCGCAGACGACGCTGTCTTCCACCTCCTTTCGTCTCCTCTCGCCTCATCCTCCTCCGTTAATTTTCCCTCCCTCCCTCCCTCCCTCCATTGTTGCTTCTCCCAATCCCTCAATGATATGTGGTTCTCCTCCTTTGCAGAGTGAGTGATTGCAGATGTGGGGGTCGTCCATGTGACACAATGGGTTGGAGGATGCTTAAGTTGGCCACCACGAAACTATTCCAACTTGGAAGTTGAAGATGAATAATATTTGTGACAAATGTTCATTCGATTCTTTTGGTGCATTAGTGTAGTTTGATAGCCTGAGGGTGATGAGAGTAGTACAAGGGTGGCAAAGGTGTTTAAGGTAGCTCAAGTAAAGAATCAGAAAACACTATCATAAACGAGTAATATTTAATTCGACCCACCGACATTTGGATGTGATCGTGACACCTCCTCCACTAGGCACGTAGCAAGCATAGAGCAAATCTCTAAGTCTATACGTAATTTGTGGTTGGTAATTTACAAAACAATATTCATCAACATGGCCCTACAGAAAAATAGTTTTGCAGAAGTTGATTAATTATGTAAGATTCCTTGGAAGAAAGTAATTTGGAAAAAGATAATAATGGTAGTTTATTTTACTTAAATTTAAATCATTATATTTTTATGAAAATAAATCAAAATTACATTTACAATTAAATTAAAAGATGAGTATAACAAAGATGTCTAGTTTTTTATTTTTATTTTTATTTTTTTACTTTGATAGAGGCCTTAAATATTTCTACCTGTTAAACTATACAAGACACGAGTCTTATTATTATTATTATTATTATTATTACTATTATTAAATTTATAAAGAATTTATATCCTCAATTCATTTTCTACTACATAGATGGTAAAAATTTTAATGCCTGTAGTAAAAAAATGAACAAAGAATCTACTTCGAATTCCTAATCAATTTAGTCTTGTATTAAGCTTCATCATCAAGTGGGGAAAAAAAACAAACAAACAAACAAACAAACAAATTACCTACAAGCTAAGACACTACATCAAATTTAGACTAAAAATTTATATAAACATGTAATTTTTTTTATTAAATTTTTCATTTTTTTTTATCTGAAATCATTTTGGATAAAAATAGTCTAAATCAATTCTTATCTAATAAAGAAAAAAGTATCTAATCTATTCAATCATAAAAAATTGTGCAATGGTTGTAAATAATGTAATACTCTTATCAATATAGCTTTTATCTTGGTTTCAAGAGCTACATATGATGGGTTATATATTGATTTAAAATTTTTCTTTAGAGTAGCTTATGTATATATATATATATATATATATATATCTAAATTAATAAGTTTATAGAATATATGAAATATATATATTAAACTATTGGAATTAATTTTTAATTTATAAAACTAATATTAAAATAAATTGTTAATTTTTTTCATCCAACTAAAAAAAATAATATAAATGAATGAATCAAAAAAATTATAATATATAATTATACATATAAATATAAAAATTAAAATAATAATAATAATAATAATAATAATAATAGTGATAAAGTTTTGGACCCTACATAGATATTTGTATTACATTCTTAGCTTTAAAAAGGGCCAATGAAAAGAAAAACAATTTCAAAATCTTACACAAAGTTTTCACCTTTATTATATTAATTTATAAAAAATAAAAATTATATTTAAAATTGATCTATTGCAGTAGGATACAAACTCACTTCATATTTTATTACTTTCTTGAATTAAAAATATTGTAATATATTACTAAAGTATTATTATTATTATTATTATTATTATTATCATTATTATTTTTTAATGCTACATTCTCAATTCATATTACTACACCTTATTTGACCTCCACATGACTTAAATTGACTATAAAGCTTGTTTCTTTGCATAATGCATGTTTGGTAGCATAATATTTAACTATAATATTGATATAAAAATAGAAAAAATAGAAAAAATTAATTTGATATTTTAAATTTTTAAAATCAAATTTGGATTTAAATAATTTTTAGGCAAATATTATGTTTTTTTTAAAAATTATTTGTGACTTATTTTTTTATTAAATATTTATTGTCTCTCTTTCAAACACCATTCTTTTTTAAAGCAAAGAAAAAAAAATGTGCAAAAGAAAGAAGCACATTATTAGCTAAATGTTAGCTAAAGGTTAGGTAGGATGTAATAATATCAATTGGAGATATAGCATTAATAATTTTCTAAACTTTTCACAATATGTGCAACTACAAAGAAGACAATTCCTACAACTAAAAAAATAATATATACAAGCTTTTAATTTTTTTGGCACAGTAAAAGGTGCTTCGGTTTTTTCATATATATATCAAAGAATCATTATAATAGAGTGAAAAAATCTTACATAATTTAAGCTAAAAAAAGATTGGTGTATGTAAAATTTTGAAACTCTTTGTTCTTTATATATTTGAAGTTATAAATTCTAATATTCTATCATATAACTCTTAATTCTTTATTTATTGTGTATATATTTATATATATAATAATATTAAAAAAAATATTTGATACGTAGTTAAGTCAAATTTTCTATTAGCTTGTTACACAAAAGTGATAGATGTAGTTTTAACAATTAACTTCTTCATGGAAAACAAGAATATTAGTTGATAATATTACTATTATTTATAAAACAATATTTAATTTATATTTAGAATATTTATAATATAACTGAAATAATAATAATAAATTTATAAATTATTATTTTTTTAAATAGTAGATCATTGTTGAAGAATAATTAGACAAACTATAACTTAATGGCAAGTATAACAAAAATTTGGTATACTAAATAGCTCGAAAAACAATTAACATTGTATAGAGGGAGTGATGCATATTGGGTATAAAATTTTGATATCTCCTAAATAAATTTTTCATGATTTTAGACATATAATTAAGAAAATGGAGTGTAGAATTTGGCATAGTCTTCCATAAATATGTTCAATATCAACTAAAAGTAATTAGGATTACAACTATGTTTTTTGAAGCAACAAGGTATTCTTATTTAAAAAAACTTATAATATCATTTTATTGCTTTTATAAATCTAGACACTCTCTTCAAGAATTTTCATACAAATAAGTTAAATAAGTAAAATTTACAATATTTTCAATGGAAGTAGGTTGTTAGATATTTGAATTAGAGAAACAATGCAATAAAAAGTCATAAAAAATATATAAAATCAAAAGTAAAAAAATAAATTTATCATGTGGTGGAATAGATTTAGGAAAATAAATGAAACAATGGTTTGAGGAGATGGATGGTTGATTGATTGTCAATACAAGAACTCCAAATCAACCTCAATTGTCTAGTCCAATAGAGAAGAGGGAAGTCTAAGTTAATTGTGCACAACTTCATAAATAGAAATCCATCAAGGAACAAGGTTGGTCTATTACTTAAATGGAAGTGAAGCATCTTTTTGTGTTAAAAAAAGGAATAAATAAAATTAAAAAAACAGATATAGGGTTGTAGTAGATCAACTTAATTGTGATTTTCTTTGAGTAAATATTGAAATAATTAAGTAATTATATTGTAGCCAAGTACTATGAAATTTTCAAAAAGTGAAGTTACTATCAATTCTATTTGTTTCAAGAAAAAAAAAAGAAAAAAAAGAAAAAAAAGAAAAAAAAAGTGAAGTTACTGAATATAAATTAATTGATGCTGTAATCAAGTGACATATTTTATAATTGTTAATTATTCTAATTCCAATATCAAATAAAAATCAACATTGACTTTAAAATTTTAGTAGAAAATATATGAACTGTGTTTGTGTGTGTGTGTGTGTGTATATATATATATATATATATATATATAAGTATATAAAATAATCAAGTAGTTTGATAGAGTTTGCAGTATTTTGAAAGTTATCCCAGTGTGATAAATGTTTTATATTGAAAAAAACTAGATATGTGAGCATGTAAATTATATATAGATATATACAAATATATACACATTCACATACATATCACAGCATTTCAATGAGTAAAAAAATTACTTCGGCCAAGACATTTCTTACATATAAGAGTCAGACTAATATAATCTAATTTTGTTTATTTATTTATTGCAATTATGCCAATCGGATTTGAGCTGTGAATGAATGGTCTTGATTGCAAAAGAATGCTTCGTTGGTTCTAATAAATCAACAGGTTCATTTTTAACAATCAATTGCACTCTGTTCTAACTGTTACGTTTGTTGAAGTAATTAAATTGTGGAGTTTGCATTTGAGTCAGTGTTAATGTCACTGTCTTAATGAGAAAAAGTGAATGAAGCAAAATCAATAGGGGGTTTATTGTGGCAAACTGGTAACTAATGCCAGAGGATATTAGTTGGAGTATTATGACAAAGTGTTATGAGAAAGTGCTGCTGTTTGCAGATAGAAACACTAAGTGAAGTGCATTAAAAAGATACTAGTATAGAGAAATATTATATATATATATATATATATATATATATATTCTCAAACACACATATGAGAATGTTAGAAATTAGGGATCATTCTATTATTAGATTTGATTTTTGATTTTTAATTTTTATTAACTAGATTGTTGAGTGGAGTAAAAACATAAAAAAAAATTGCATTATTGCTATTGAGATCTAACTTGTTTTTTAGTTGTATTTTTGGCTCAGGTATACTTTGATCTCATTAGTTAAATAATATGAGACTGACTAGTAGTACCCCTATACCTAGTTTCAATAGTGAAAAACCTAATCATTCATGTAACTATTATGAATTGAATTAAAAAAACATTATTCAACTCACATCAATAATATTGTTTGATAATCTGTGTGTCAAAAAGAGATGGATCTATAAGTTAGTTGTTTGAGTTTATATTGCAAGGAGTCAACAAAACACATTGGTGATAAAGAAAAACAGAAACACAAATGTGACAAGTATGAAGACTCATTAAAAAAACAGCAAACAACATAATGAAAAATGGATTGTACATTATATTATTGCAACTATTTTGAAGTACACACAAAAAGTGCTTCAACATCCAATGAAACTAATATATCTTGGAACAAATGCAAGACCCCAAATGATGGTTTACAGTTTTCCCTTTTGCCCTTTCCCCTTTGCCTTTTTTCATGTCTCCTTTGGCCTCACATCTGCAGCTGCAAGCCTACAAAACTCCACCTGCAAGCAATGCAGCCATCAGAGAGGTCATGGAGGTACTGGATCTCAGCTTCTCAGCTGCTACTTTTTCTGCTGCTGCTGCTGCTGCTGCACAGCTAAAAATGGACATGGGTTTGCAGCCTCTCCCAAAGCACTCAGTCACTCCTCAGGTTATTCTGTATGTATCAGTCTGCTCTTTACAAATATGGAGCATGGCCTCTGATTTCCAGCCTTTGAGAGTGCAGAATGGCCACAGGTGTGCAATTGCCTTAACCACTTTCTTCCAATATCCCCATGCAGGCTTTTTTTCTGCCTCCTGACCTTCCTCAACCCTTCCTTTTGCCTTAGAGGAGAATCAAAACCAGTAATGGTGATAATAATCTGCACCCTTCTTTTTTAAGTAGAAACTGTTGTTTATGGTGGTAGTATGTGTGTTTGAGTGTGTATGCATGTATGAATACATATATTTGGAAATGAACAAAATATGATACAATAAAACCACCATCTCATGCATCATATTCTATTTGGGTTTGGTTTTGAGTCAGTAATTATCTTGCATTGGTTTTTGCCCTACACTAATGGTGAACATTGCCATGCAGTCATGGCACCCATGACTGAATGCTTATTGGCACCATTGACTCTATTTTGTGGGTCTTCTCTGTCTGCTGATGCACAAACTCTCATTCTCTTCTCCTGGTCTCCAGCCATTTGGTGCCATACAGACATGAAAGAAGTTGGAATTGCATATTATTTTATCTTGCATGCCAGGAATCCAGTTCAAGTAATGAACTGATCAGTTCATGCTGCTGACAAATTGCCCCTAGAACTAGATAAGTTTGAAGAGGAATGTCAATAATGATGATTTCCTTTTATTATTGTTGATATTATAGTTGTTATTAAATACACAGCTAGTTGCTAGGAGGATCAGACTTCAACTTGAAGAGGCATACTTAAGTGGAGAAGAATTATCCATTGAAGCCAACAAAAACTTGTTTTATACGGTACAGGAGTTGTTCCGTATTGAAACGCAAAATTAGTCTTCGGTGATTAGTGGGGTAGTTGAGTCATGAAAGAGAACACGTGCGCAGAAGAACATTCGAAACAACGAGATGGCCTCTTTTTTAAGTTTGCCTCAAAGAAATGGAAAAAAGACTGGGGCCTGGATGTAACGTAGATGACAACCACTGAGAAAGAACCTTACCAGGAAATGTAGGTGAGCGAAGCTTCTATTTCCTCTAAATTTTCAAAAAATTATATACCTTCCAATACCACAAGCAAGATTTTAAGAGGGGCGGTTTTCTGCCAGAAGGGGCAGTAGAAATTTGAACGTCAGTAACAAATAAATGAATTCAAGTACATTTCAACTACTGGCAAATTGATTTTATGTTCCAAGAAGCACACTCGAAGCAAGCAGGATAATGATGAAGATGCAGTAGTCGTGTGTCAAAGCCACAGCTGAGCGAAAATACAGCTAGACTGTGTTCGCACTGAATTAAATTGAGACTCAATGCTCTTAAAAAATCAAATATGAATTCTAACCCCTCAAACCTAAGGTGGAATCCAAGCACCACAGAGTATGATACAATCAGCTGAGGGTCATCGTGGAACCCAACCATTGGAAACAAACAAATGCCATATACGAACAAGGAATTCTCTTTTTCAACCATCATCGCGGCTTAAAACCTCATTTTCAAAGGCATTTTCATCTTCTTTGGTTCACGGGAGACAATTTTGTACTTCGAATGTCCCTTTTTAGATTCCTGTTGCTGCAACCAACAACCAACGAAAGACGTCAGCTTAACTCGAAAAATGGGTGGAGACATCTTTGCTATCCTGTTAACCCCCCATTAAAGTCAGCATTTGAAACAAATCATCATGATAGAAGCTGTATTGAGTGCCGGGGCAATTACACATACGATTCGGTTGAGAACATGCTGACCCACATACAAATTATTTACACGTAATTGGAAGATGTTGGAAGTACCTCTTCCCAAGCAGCCGTATGTTCCTCACAGAACGAGATAACGATGGCACCATTTCGGCCATCCCGAAACTCCATAGCAAGGTTCTTTCTCAAAGCGCAAGAAACATGGAAACGTAACGTGCATCCAATCTCCGTGCAATCGATACAAGCACCTCCGGTTGAATTGCACACACTACACGTGGAAAGCCACCGTTTACTGGGAACATGCGACGTATCAATTCGCTCCAAGTCATCTGGTTGGCGATAAAATACCTGAGTTTTATACAAAAAAAAATACACCGTGTTAAAAACAACACTGCTTAAGTCTGCACAACAAATGTGATTGCAAATTTGTGCACCTACACTTTGTGATCTAAATACACTAAAAATATGCCTCCACAAATGGTTCCAATCTGAGTTCAACAGAATATTAATATGTATTGGATGTTTTTCTTTTTTTCACGTCACAAGGCTGCTGGAGCAAGAGTTTCAATGAAAACTTGAGGGCATCAAAACCACCAGATTGCACATACCTCGGGTACATAAATAGCGCATGATAAATGGGCCCAGTTTCCATCGGTAGTCAATTTCATAGCACCCCCAGATCTTGGGCACAGACAGCAGCTTCTAGAATCCGGGCTTCTGCTCTGGCATTGAACACAAAACCAATCTCCTTCTGGGACTTCATGATGCAGGGGGTTGCCGTAACAGTTGGCATGAACTCCAACATTACATCCATCACAATAAACAAGGGGATCCGATGGGGTGCCATCGGCGCTGCGGCATACATCGCAAGCGCCATCATCATCTTCGTCTTCATCTACGCTGGTGGCCTCGACTTTTGATCTGTCTGACCATCGACCAGGTGCTTTCACACGTTGTGTCATTCCACTTCGCATACCGAAAGTGAAATTAGGTACATCCATCTCCCAATCCCAGCCATTGTCTTCTTTTGATGATTTGCAGACCAATTCATGGGACTGCTCTTGTAATCTGAAGCTTGAGGTTTTTAAATCAGGTGGAATTGGACTGTCTTTTTCTGGACTCTCCGAACATGGGAAAACCTCATCACCTTGAGAAGCTTTACAGGAGCTCACTGTAAAGGCGAATGAAGAATTCTGGGATTGCACCACTCCGTTGTTGATGGATCTTGGTTCTACTTGACAGTCCTCTGCACTTCTCGTATCAACAACTTCATCATTCCAAGATATTGATAATTGCCGTAGGTCCTGAAATTTCGAGGTAGCCACATCTATCAGTTTCCTACCGTCCTCGACCGTAGAATTAAAACTCTCCATCTCACTGAAAGCCAAAAAAGAATTTGACGAAGAATTGCTCCTGCCTTGCTCTAAGTCACCCCCTTTGCAACCCTCCCTTCCAAGCATTCGCTTAAAAAGGCGTTTCATACGCCGATCCAAATCAACGAGTAATCTTTCTTGCCCCGTCATAAGATTTTGTAGCGCGTCAGTCGCTGATATCCTATCTCCCTCATTGATTGCAAGTGGGTCAACCAAGGTCGTTACTACCTTTCGTTCTTGGTTCTCTTGCACCCCAATTCCATTGAAATCATCTGAAGCATCCGACGCCACTTGGGGAGTTTGCTCTTCCTGCTGTTTTGCTGGACAATCACTGTCGCTTTTTTCACACAAATTGTCCTTCACTTGGTTAGTAGTAACAGTCACACCCTCCGAAGATCCTGGATTGCTTGATGTTCCAGCACTTTTGACACTCGCTACTATAGAAGAGGAAGCGGTGAGAGAACAAGCATCTGGTTCTCTAATTATACTACCGGTGGTAGATGCTTTGAGATTCTCCTCCGATGTTTTACATGGATATTCCATCTTGGTTTCCTTTACTTTAAGTTCATAGCCATCGGCAGGGATTCGCAAGGTTAACCCATTCACCATGGTTGGCAAAGTAGTTTCAATTGTTGCTCCTGCATCCAAGGATGGACGATTCTTGTCGCCATCCTTCGCTAGCAGAATGTCGCCATTTGTCAATTGGATTGATGTCTTGACGTTTAAAGCAGCAGTATTGGTGGCGTCCAAACACACAGATTGTTCAGCGTCGACAGGCTTAACCTCGGCTTCAGTTGAAGATTCAGTCTCTGATTCTATTCCACGTCTGTTCACACCTTGGCCCATGGGAACAGAAAAAGTAGAAGCCTTCATCATATCATCACTAGTGGAAGGATAAGCAGTCTGAGATGCTGCCATCACGTCCTCATCCACGAGACTATCCTCTTGAATCTCAGTCGCGAGCTGGTGAGTATCTTCGCTTCGTGTGATCAACACGTTGAGACCGACTGGCACCATGGGAGGAAACGATGTCGTGTTCATGGAAACCGACTCCACAACCTTCTCTGTCATATCCTCTTCTGAGCTGGATGTGTAGGAACTAGGCGAAGGGCTCTCACACACGATCGTGTCAGCATCTTCCTGTGCCTTGTTAATTGAGCATGTCACACCTTTCGACATCACCCATGTGGTCGGAGTCTTTAGATGTGCAGCACGAGATTCTTTTCTCGGAACATCTGATTGATAGCATACGGACCTACGAATCAAATCTTCAGATGCTTCGCTGAATAATTGACTGGATCCTGGAGACGATACATTTGCTGGCTGGTGAACCTCCAAATTGCCCTTGATCTCAGTAAAGGAACCTTTTGAAGGAGGATCACCCCAGCTCTTGAACGCACCGGAAGCGGGCGACTTCAGCTTCATCATTGGCGATGCACTCCTTGCAGTAATCGGCATAAGCAATGATGGAGGATCTTTTCTTTTGACGGCGACAGGCCGTGGTGGCACTGGCGGCATTGCTTGCACTAAAGGCCGCTTTACTCTCCGTTGCTTATAATTGTGATTCTCCTTATCCAGCATAAGGAGCTCCTGCAATGCCAGTTTCTTCGGAGATACCCCATGGGAAGGATAATTCGTAATGTCATTACAACACGAGTCGCGCGTTTGCAACTCCATTTCCTTCTCTCTACGCTGCTCCTCTAGCAATTTAAACCGTTTACGCGGTGGTAGGTCAAATAACTCGCACTTTTCTTTTTTCAACCCCTCGCCTGCCATTGTGACACCTTGTCGTTGTCCCTTCACTCAAGAAGAAGACAGATAATCCGTCGGAGTGACTACTCGGGAATAGCAGTAGAAGATTTAGAACTTCATGTAGCACGAATATCGTTTCATTCAGAAGACGAAAATGACGTGCAGAGATTGTTGCGCTCATTCGCAGCTCCTCTGTACTCAAGACAAAAACAAAAAAGGGAAAGTGAAGAGAAGAAAGGGTGTAAGGTATTTTAAAACTATCAAGCATAATATCCAATTCGCTGACTGATATGTAGTTGACGGAAGTAACGACACTCGCCCCATTCAGTAACAAAAACAAAAGCGTCAACCCTGAATCTAAGACACTGCCGCAACAGACCATAATCTTGGACACCTCAGCACCAACATCCCGCACTTCTAAGGTGTCTTTCAAACCCTCACTAGCGCAATAGAGCAAAATCACTACATAATGCCATCTGAAATCCCCACTTGCCTCAGCTCTATCGGTAGTCACAGATCTCAGCCCCTACTGACAACAAGACGCTATATTTCTTAAAAGCACAAACTCACACGCGAGAAATTAGGCAGAAACTTGGAGTGCAACGAGATTCGACTACCCTTCCCGGAGAAACTCATCCTCCACTACACTTGAACTTCCTCTACAAGTATTTATTAACAAAATAAATGAAAACGACACGGAATATAGTGAAAAACACAACGAACATAATTAACATTCCCTTCAAACTGCCACCAACTCCAGCACTACCCAAGCCTCACCCACGACGCAAAACCCTTGCAAGTACTTCAAATCAAACACCTAGACACATCCACAGTCACCAAAAGCCAACTCCGACCCCCTACATACCGCTCCAAGCTCGCTCCCTCAACTGAATCTCTTCGAGCCACACGATATTGCAAGGTCTCTCATTCTTGCGCCGCAGTCACAATTGACTAAACGACGAATCGAGGAAAAACTAGGTAACCAACAAGAACGGATTTTCATACCTTGCGATAAAAACAAGAACAAGCAGCATGCCTTTGCTCGAATTCCAAGTTGCTCCCCAACGCAAGCAAGGTCCGTGAACGCAATCTCAACATTGCAACCAGAAGGCGCTGCGCGGGGGCCTGGGAAAGGGTTTGGCGGGGCGGGGGAGGGGTGAGAGAAACTGGAGGGAATTGAAAAAAGCGAGGGAAATTCATATTTTCCCGGTTTATTTCTCCCTCGCTCGGTTCCCTAATCTACTATTCGTGACTCCCCTGGAAGAACTTATGTTGACGTGGAGGTCTCTGTTGCGTATGGCACCTTTCCGTAGAATCTAGGGTTTTCATTCATCCGCAGTGAGATCTGATGCGTTGATTAAAACTGTATTATGCTGTAGTTGTTAAAACTATATCATTCTATAGTTTGAAATTTGTAAAACTTATAAATAGTTCAACATGTTTTAGATTGAGGAGATTCTCTGCGTATGTTATCTTGGTTTTACGTATCTAAAGGTTTTTGTAATATTCTGTAGTTTTCTATTAATACATATGTGTGATAACACTTAGTAACACAATAGCTGATTAACCAAAATCTTGGATAACCGATGATTGAAAAAATAAAACATGTAAATAATGAAATGGTATGTATAACTTTCAACGACATATATTTTGCTAAAGTTGATAAAACCGCCTGTTCTTTTAAAAGAAAATGTGGCAAATCATGTAACTGTTTTTGGAAAACTCAAATATCAAAAGCTAATCCCCAAAACATATTTATCCACTCAAGTGAAGTATTTAAGATAAAAAATCTCAGGTTCGGTTCCTAGATATTAGTGTCAAGCTCTTGCTACTTGAAGCTCAATTGCCGGCCACGACGAGAGGTGCTGTGTTGCACGACTTTGGGCGCCATGTCGTTCTGGCACGAACAATTTCGAGCTGCTGGGAGTCATGGGTTCGAAGAAGATGAGTATATTCGCATCTAGGGGAAAGCCAAAAGCCCTGCGAAGGCACTGAAGCTGCAAAGGGTTGCACTTCTTCAGTAGCTGTTTTGGAGCTGGTGAGAGACTCGACGACGTTTTTGCTTTTACTTAATTCGCGTCTGTATTCCAGCGTGATGCTTGCCAAGTTGTGTGTCTCTATGTGATCGTCTGGAATACTCTGCAATCCAATTTGGCATTTGTGAAAAAACTGCCCTAACAAATATTGTTGAATTGGACGCTACGGAAACAGGACGAATTTGGTGGTACCTGAAGAGCCCAGATGATGTACTTGAGGTTGCTCACGTGTTGGTTCACATCAAGATCTGCCCTGCAAGACTGCACATTTACATCAGGTGACTCCAGTTTGCATGATCTTATGTGATCCGAAAGTTGGCACAAAGTTTGTTTGGAATTGATCGTTACCGTGATCGGGGAGCTCACGTACTTGGCCGTGAGGTTGTCAAGCTTCACTATTTTGGTGGAAAGCATATTCTTCTGTTGAAACGCAGATTGCTCGTCCTCAAAGAAAGGATCGAGCTCTGCTCGAACTGTGTCCGGCATCCTACAAACTCTTCGCGTTTTGGAGTCCATATTGCACCAATTGCTGCACATCATTGCAACTGACTCAGTCTCTGGATTAGATGATAACCTCCATGACAAAAAAAAAAAAAAAAAAACTCATGACCTAGTGTAGTTGGTGCTAAAATTTACTGAGCATCTGGTAAGTTGTTTACTGTCAAGCTACCTCGTGGCCCGGATAAGCACTTCATTTGTGTCGCTACGACGCACAATCCAGTCCCGGCGCATTCCATTCTTACCAGAGCGAGCAATCCAAGAGTCGATCACAATTACGTCCGACCTGCAGCAGATATGGCACAGTAATGTTCTCAATCACGATTAATCTCCATTGATCATCGGCAGTGAGATTCTTCATTTCCATGAAATGGGTGATATCTAGTCAACCGGTGTTACTCATAATATTCGCAATTCTCACACAAGATCTGAGGTAAGAAAACGTAAGAAAGAAAAGTTCAGCCACTTCGATGCAACTGCACTTCCTTACTGGCCTGAATCGTAGTTTGTTTGCTGTATTCCTCATGTGGGACCTCCAAATACCATCCTTTCCGCCCAAGGTTGAGTTTACATTCATGGTGTCAGAGCCTCAAAGTTTGCTAATGGATTCTTTCAGTAGAATTCTTACCATTTGGGGAATTTCTCCACTACCACGTGCATTTTAGAAACCACCCAGATGAGCCCCTGAGAGTTCATGGCCTTCGTAGCCCCAAATCCATCTCCTTTAATCCCCATTAATTGCACATGGCACAAGGACACTTCCTGTCACATACCAATTGGAAAATCTAGAGGGTCGCTTAAACAAAAGCACAAAACTCAGTATACTATTACTACTACCGATGAATAATTTGATTTCTTTCTAGACCTGTGCTCAACAGTTCATGAATTCTGTCACTTGTATTCATGAAATCCTAAAGTTGGCTTCTTTCTTTTGAAACGAATGTCATAAATCACAATGCAACTGATGTTTCAAAATGTAGCGAAAGAATAATACATTTTGAAGTACTTTTTGTGTTGTGCTTTTTAGTTTACAATGACCACCCACATATCATCCATTATTTCCAGAACTAAAGAGTAGAGCTCACTTGAAAAAAGCTGATGATAGTGGTAATATCGGTAGTCTTATCTGCTCCAACTTCGTATGATCTAATCACGAACATTTGCCTGTACAATAAGCGGTTAGAATTCTCCACGAATTCTCCTTCGAATAACCGATGTAAAGACCCTGAGTTTTTCACCTTGAGGATCACATCTGAGCATGGCGAGGCCAGCAATCTTCGGACCGCAGCATCTTCTGGATCAGAATGGACTGGGATGAATTCCTCGTTGTTCTGTGGAGCTGATGCCTGACCATTCAAGGCCCTTGGAGTAATACTGAATTTTAGGCTATACCTCACGAGGGAAGTTTCACTTTTGAATCTCTTTGCGGAGCTCAGGTCAGGCTCAACGATAATGCCCTGTTTCCAAGCCCATGATCTCCTAAATTCAGGATCTAGCACACGAGCACTGGACCCAACGGCTCCAGATGTATACCGCTGCGGTGAATGAAGTAGAATTGAATTCCACAAATCCATGACGAAACCTACTTAGCCAAACCTCTTGGCTCCGGCGAAACCTCTAAACCGATGAATCAATGTTCCCTGACGTAAGCGCTGCGTTAGATGTTATGACCTTGCTCACTGGTGGTCTGGTGCAGTACTCATCAGTTCAGCGATTACAAGATTCAGAGTACGGAACCGCACACAACCGATTGAGCAAATAATAAAGCCTGCAACAGTCCTAACCCGGCCTCAAGTTCAGGTCATTCCACGATTTTCTCCAGTCACGCATTCACCTATGCTCGCTCCGAGGAAACGTTACCGATTTATACAGGTGACCGATGCTTCAAACCAAGACGGGCTAATCATGCAGCACATCAGAAAAATAATGCCTTCATGAAGCAGAGTATGCAGATTTGGCGTGTGTCTGGTAGCGATGACGTGAAGATTAGGGCGTTGTTCAGGTACAAATGGTTCAGACCTCGAAACGTGGAAGGCTTTAACCAACTATTTAATAGGGAAGACTTCGATTTGAAGAGTTGGTTGAAGACAGCGACGAAAGAGTTCGAAAGCACCCCCAGACTGAGACGTGAGCAGACGGACGGATCCCGTGTGTCCATCCGTCTAGCTCAAGTGGGGGTGCCCTGCATCCATCCGGCTGCCCTCCCCAGGTGCCCGCCACCTAGACGGGCAGCCTCAGCAAGCTGCCCGGCACCTAACTGGTCCCGTTGGCAACACAGCCCTGGCCCGGCGCTGGGAATCCTAGCCTTCGCCGCCGGCTGCCGGGGCTAGGGTTTCATATATGTAAAATTAGATTATAACTTATTTAAATTCTACTAAAATATTATTACATATATTATTCTATATATTTTATATGTAATATCAAAATATAAAATTATAAAATATTATTTTAAATAATATATATATATATATATATATATATATATAATAAAGCTACACCTCAATGTTGTTAAAGCCACACCTCTCCTTATCATTTCACGATTGATTCTATCCATTCCTTGTCTTTGTTATTTTTTTTGAATCCCATATCTTTGTTTTCATCTCTTGTTTCATGTTTCCATTTCCTATACCTCATTAAAAATCCCTTGTTCATGTTTCCAATCCCTTGTCCCTATTCTCCTCTCTTGTTCCATGTCATTATTCTCTTTTATTGTTCCTTGTTCTCCATCTTATGTTCCCTCCTCTCTTATTTCTATTCCCATCTTTTATTTCTTGTCCTTAAATAAGGCGCAAGAAAAGTTTAAATGGGGGTACATTTAATAAGTTTGCTTAGATTTGTGCTCTTAACAAACTTTCATTTTAATGTTGTATTACATAAAGTCTCCTTGAGAATGCACTAGAAATCTAGCTATGAAAGAAAAAATAGAACTTGCAATAAGATGATCCTAACAATTCTAATAGAATCTTAAACAAACTCCAATTAAATTATAAAATGTTAATCAATATTTAATTAAATCCAAAATAAGTCTCAAGCACTTACAAAAGAAATATAAAAAAACCTTAAATTAATCTTTAAAAAATATATATATGATAAAAATATCTTAAAGAATTTTTATAAAAATATCAAAAATAGAAATCCTAATTTAATCCTAATCAAATTTTAATGTAAGCTTCAATAAATTCTAATAAAATCCTAAATCAATCTTAATCAAATTTTAAATCAAATCCTAATGAAATTCTAATTTTTAATAAAATTTTAATCGAATCTTAATCAAATCTTAATCAAATCCTAATCCTAAATTAGATCCTAATGAAATCATAAATCCTAAATTAATTTTAATTAATTCTTAAGTAAATCCTAAATCTTAAACTAATTCTTAACAAATCTTATAGCAGATTGAAAATTCAAAAACTAATATTTGAATTCTTGCTTTTGATTTAAAATTTGATAACTTTGCAACAACTAAGTTAGCAACAATTATAACAAATTTGATGATGATTGCACATACCAATTAGATGATACTCTCTAAACTTTGTTCAAGTGTTAACCAACATCTTTCTCTAATCTTGATGTTTTCATTTCTAAACCATGGTCTCTTAATTTCACAATTCAATTGATCCCAAACTTGGCAAAATTTTTGGAAGTCAAACTAACTACCTTTGAACAAAATTGTATTTCAATCAAGTTGGCAGATTGATAGATATCTTAGAAATCCTCACCAAACTTTTAATCTCTAATTTTTAAGACCATAATCTATAAAACTCTTATATTATTTAATCTATTCATTCAATTGACTTCAAATTTCTTACACACATTTACTAAAAGCACAACAAACCACCAAATTTTCATCTATAAATATGCAATAAAACTTACAAAACCTTCAAATTTGTAAATATATTTTTATTTCTCAAAATCTAAATCCATTGAGTATATTACTAACTTTGAAAATCCCTAAAAATATCTATATTAATCCACATGATATGAAACCAACTTTCAAAAATCTCTTCTCAAGTTTGCTCTCAAATTCCACTCTTTGATTGACAAAGGAATCCCAAAAATAATATAGGTACTTGATTTTGTGCCTTAGGGTCTAATTTTGACTCTGGTTGGCAATTGGTCCTTATTGGGTATTAATTATTATTTTCTCAAGGTAATTTTTATTTAAATCAACTCCTAACTCTTTATATGTGTTAATATTCTTTATTTTTCTAATCTACCTTATTTATCTTATTTATGGTAATATAAAATAAGTACAATATTTTTTCATAAAAAGTAATTTTAATACTATAAGATTTTACTACTTGCCTATTTTTTATCTATGTTTTTTTACTATATCTTTTTAATTAGGCTATTCTATAATGAAAAACATATATATATATATATATATATATATATATATATATATATTTTAATCAAATGGCCATATTACTACATAACATTATTCCTTTCTTAACTATTGTTGGAAGCATCAGATGTTCTATTATTAATAATGTAAGAATCAACGTTTTGTCTTCCTTAGTATTGATTACATATGCCATATCTTTAGTTATATTAAAAAGAGATTGTAAAGATTTTCAATAAGATTTCATAAATTGATCAACATATTATGTGTTAAAAATAAAAATTTGATGAATATAAATAAAAAAATAAGACTTTTATTTAAAAAATATAACAAAAAAACTAAATATTTATAATAAAAAAATAAACTAAATTAGATATTGCCAAAAGACAAGAAAACTAAAGATCCTTGAAACTAAATTAGAAGCAAGAAAGAATTTGACAAGAATGAAGAAGGCCTCACTTTTGCCTCTATATATATTATCTAATTAGGAATTATGTAGCAATGCTCTATAAATCCTTCAATACCTATCCAACTTGCATGATACATGTCTAACTTCATCTATATATATATATATATATATACACACTACATGTCTAACTTGTATCATAAATTATCAACATGTATAACACTTAGTCAACTTTTTGGCCAAAACTTTAAGTTATTAATTACCTATAGATATGTATAAATGCACAACTGTGTCTATAAAGCTTTTATAAAGATTTTCTATAAGATATTATAAAATTTATTAATTTTAATCTACTTCTATTTATTCATATTATCTAGATAATTATTAAAATAAATATGTATATCTGTGATATTTCTCTCCTCTCTAAAGACAAGTTCCATAAGGAGCATTAATTACATATTGAAGAAGTTCAAAATCTAATAAAATATATTTTCCACATACTTTAATTTTTATTTCTTTTGAAGGTAGTTAATAGGTTTTTTTAGCCATTAATAATGTCATATTCTAAGGTAGGTAGACCACCATGTTATTTGATTATTTTTGAAGCCTTTGTAACTTCTTTCAAATAAAATATGAATAATACTATCAAGAGTCATTTTTACCTCTAATAAAATTATCAAATATTTGAAGTCTCTATTGAAATTGTGATACCAAATATGTTGTATCTTGCCATCTATTCAAAAAAAAAATATTATTTTATCCCTATTACATTGACTTGAAGGCTGTGACAATGTAATCCTATTCAAAAATCCTAAATCCTAAATCCTAAACATTCTTTCTTTTATAGTAAGGAATTGCTTATCTCTTCATTTTTTTGATAGATGCAATTGATAAAAAGCTTTGATTTTTTTTTATTTTTTTTTATTTTTTTATTTTTTTTTCTTTATATTTTTAAGATTTTTTGTTTGCTCCTATGTGCATTTGTTAATATCATATCTACACCAATGAATAATATATTCTAACCTCAGTAGGCATTGCCTTGAATCTAAAACCTCTTCCACTTTGAACTCTTAATTATTATTCTTTTCTACAAAAGCCAATGGTATTTGTTTTTTTTTTAAATAAATTCTTTATCTTATATGGTTCAAAAAAAGACACATGAAATATATAATGGATCTTCATAGACTTTGGTAGGTATAATTCATATGCAACTAGATTAATTTATTCACATATAAAGAATGTTCCAAGTGTACAATAATCCAACTTCTCACAATAATAGCTAGTCTTAATATTATAATAAAGTAACTATAACTTGTTGCCAACATGAAATTTAAGTTTTTTTTTTTAATAGGAATTTACATTGATCTTTTATTGTTCTTTAGTTTCTTTTAATTGTACCTTCATTATTGTATGTAATTCTAATACAAAATTTGTAAAATCTATTGTTGTATGATTATCAATTTTTGAGAAGTCAAAAATATAAAATTATGGATGATAACCATGATTAGCATAAAAATATGTTTATTAAATAGAATAATGTATTATATTATTATAAAAAAAAATTACTAATAGAAAAAAAGTTGTTGAATCATCTTGATTGTTATTGATAGTATACTTCAAATATTGCTCCAGAACTTGATTCACCCATTTGATTTGTTTATTCATTTGAGGATGAAAAATCAATGATAATTTTATATCTATATTTAATATTTTAAAAAGAATCTTCTAAAAACTTGATATAAATTGAGTTCTTTTATTAGATATAATATCCTTAGATAATCTATGATAGAAATAGATGTTATCAAAGAAAAGCTTAGTTATTTCTTTATTAGTAATAGATTTTATACATGATACAAAATATATTAGTAAAAAGAACTACTATCATGAATATAAAATCATATAAACTTAAGGTTGAAAGATTTGTCATAAAATCCATATAAATAGAAATTTTATAGTTATTTTGATATAGATAGTATTTATAGAAGTTGTAAGATTAATAAAAAAGAGTTTTTGATCTTGAATAAATATCATATGATTGTACAAAGCCTTTTATTATTTTTTACATTTAAAACTACCCAAAATCTCTTCAGATCAATTCTAAGGTCTTATTATATCTATGTGAGGGTAAATTTTTCTTTCATCTCAAACTACAAGATGGCCTCAATTAAGAGTTGCTTGTAATTGGTGGTGAGAAGTAGAAGTAGCAATAAACAAGGAACAAAGAAGGACAACACCAAACAAGTGAAACAAGTGCAATCAAGCAA